TACCCCCTATTTGGATTCAAATAAAAATACTAGAAAATCAAATTCCCACCAAATCAAAATATGAAAAATCAGTTTTAGTGCAAAATATGATTTAGGCTAAAAATGATGGCTCGTTAAGTCAATATATAATTCATACTAAAATCCCATAAAATCAAGATTTCTTATTTGATGTGTAAGGAATAAAAGTCGCCAAAAATTATATTGAGAAAATGATTATTCCGAAAAACTATTTTTCATACTTAGTCAATATTTTTACATAAAACATTTTTTCATATATGATATGAATGCATGAAGGGACGTAAGGTTTTTTTTTAGTTTGTGAAATTTTGATTTTTTTTCTTTCTATTGGGTTTAATGGGGGGAAAAGCTTTAAAGATATTTGCTAAATCGCTACTATTTGTCTATTCTTGCAATTTTTCTTGCTCATAATGTATTTTTCTATCCCTTTGTTGAGGACAATTATGATTGCAACCAATAAGCAATATAATTCTTGACATATGTGATATATATACTATTTTTTGTATGTATTGTGAGTTCGAATTTTTGATTCTTTAGAATTTATAAGAGGCCCCCACACACATGAAATTCTGGCTTCACCACTGCGTGCAATTGTATATATTAGAAAACCCTAAACCCGCCAATCAATTCACAAATAATCACACGTAAATTCAAATATAATATAATCATATTCAAATGTACATATTATTATGATCTTTAAAATTTATTTGTTGACTAGCTTTAAAAAAGCTTAAGCTAAGCGTGTTTGTTGATTTGATTTGACTCTCAAGTCTCGAGCTAAGTTCATGCATGGCGCCGTACTATCTTCTTAAAAAACTCCAACTTGGCACATATATATTTGTATATATATATTTAATGGGACAGTGGACAGCGTGTTTGAATCACCATATATCGATCCATCGTTGTGAAATGTGTGTTTGATTCTTTACAGGGTTAGTTTGAAATTCACTCCAATTATCAGAATTAGGTATTTGGAATCTTCTTACTTAAACACGGCCGTTCGATTCTTGCGTTTGGTCATGTACCAAATTCAAGGCTCGGAAACTCATATTCAAAATTTATCAAAAAAAAAAATCCTAATTTTAAAAAAATCACCAAAAAATACTACGAACTCTGTGTAATCTGCACTTTCATTCTATATCTCAAATTCACAATTTGACCCCCAAAAAATCCATTTGTTGGAAGTTTGAATGAAATTCAAGGACATTTTTCCCACATTTGTAGAAAGAAGAAAGAGTGAGGTCTTTGTAAGTGTGGAAGTCTCACACTTAGTAAATGAAAGTTGGGTCAAGTGGAAGTCAATTGGGCTTCAAAATCGATTTGGGCATTGAATATTATATATAAAAAAAATAAGGGTCTTTGGAGCCTAATCTATTTAATGAATTATACTAGACCAGACAACATGCCTCATCAAAAATTTCAAAATAATCACTTATAGCCCCAAATAAGCAATGTCAAATGGGGACTTAGCTTATTTAGTAAGTAGGATTAGTAGATACACAAACAATTTAACTCTTTTCTATGATGGTTATTGTGTTGTCTACTAATGTGTAGGTTATGTTTTGCATTTAAAGACACTAATATCTTATTAAGAGGAGTTTAGCCAGAAAACTCTTAATTAGTGTCACTTATATGGGAGTAAATGTGGGGTCACATTTATGAGAACAATAAAGGCTAAGTTCTCTAAAGCTCTCATAAAACCCGGGACATGTTCAAGACCAAAATGAACAAAAACATATGAACTAACATTTGTTAAGATGTTATATGTGTGAGACATATTGTCTAGGTTTACTATAGCGGTGAACAGTTCGAGATCAATTATATCCACTGCATCATCAAGTAAATCCGATATTTTTTCAGTAGGGTAAGTTCAAGTCCAAAAGACACTTTTCCTAATGCATATGACATATGCTTCCTCTCAAATGCATTACAGTCATTTAGCATTATAAGTATAACATTTCAAATGTGGGGTCTAGAATTTCGATTCAAATGTGGGGTATTATTGGAAGTTTGAATGAAATTCAAGGACATTTGTCCCACATTGGTAGAAAGAAGAAAGAGTGAGGTCTTTATAAGTGTGGAAGTCCCACACTTTGTAAATGGAAGTTGGGCCAAGTGGAAGCCAATTGGGCTTCAAAATTGATTTGGGCAATTTTTTTTTTTGGACAACGAAGCTTTCATTGAAAACAGAGGAGGAATACAAACAGACAAAAAGCTAAAACTCAGGGAAAGTTGCTAAACTCGCAGAGTCTAGAAACCAAAACTCTCCCCACAGAGACAAAACCAACAAAAATACAATTAAGGGGGACTTGGAAGTCCATCAGAAGCCAGAACACGCACTAGGGACGGAGGTGGCTGGTTAGCCCATCCTTGCGGACACACCGCCCTTAAACCTATCGCTGCGGTCACATGAGCCGCTCGATTTGCTCCACGAGGGATCCAACACCATTCCACATCAGAGAAACCTGCACTCAGGCGCCTGATCTCATCCAGCAGAGGGAGAATGGTCCATGCCCTCGTGCAACCTTTACCCTTGATATTATCAATGAGGACTTTAGAATCTGATTCCATAACTAACCTTGAGTAGCCTCTCAGACTTGCGCATCTCAGAGCCTCAATGGCTGCTTCGGTTTCTGCTATCAAAGGACTATTACAGTAGCGTTTACTTGCAAAACCATAGCAAAAATCCTTATTCTGTTTTCTCATCACCACACCCAAGCCTGCCTCATGGTTTTTCCAAGCAGCATCGAAGTTTATCTTTATTGCACCACTAATAGGGGGTTTCCATAAACCAGCTGACGGGGTCAGAACAGTAGCCCCATATCTGGTGGAGTCAGCTTGACACCTAACTGCCTCGAACTCTTCTGCTGCTGAAACAGCATATTCCACCACACGTATGGGATCGATTTTAAAGTCCTCAAAAAGAAATTTGCATCTTGTTTTCCATATCTCCCACGAGATAAAACTCACCAAAGACAGAACCCAAACTCTTTGGAAATTGGTTAACATATGACTATTTAACAGCCCATTGTACCAGCAATCAATCGTGGTGAGGCTTTGTGGGTTCACTCGGTAATTTAAAGGGGAGCCAAACCAGACAGCTTGGGACCACGGGCACAGAAAGATAGCGTGCTCCTCAGATTCTTCATACTGATTGCATATGGGGCAAATTGGAGTCGCAATAATCCTTCTGCGATACAGATTAAGTCTGGTAGGCAAGGCCCTATTCATCATGCGCCAGAGAAAAAACTTGATCTTTGGGAGAGTAGGAGTCGCCCAAATTCCTTTCCACACACCTCTTTCAATTACATGGGACGAACGGTTATTTACCCCACTGGAGGAAACAGAGACCACCTGCAGATTATAACCAGACTTTACAGAATACAAACCCGATTTGTTCCAGGGCCACACAACTCTATCATCCCTGTGCAAGTTACCTATAGGGACCTCACTGATAACCTTAACAGTGTCCTGGCTCACATACTGAGCAAGAGCCTGCGTGTTCCATGTTCTGGTATGTCCATCTAAGATCTCACTAACCATTTGGGGGGCATTCAACGGCACAGGGGTCATAGGCACCACAAAACCATGGTGAGGAGGAAGAAGCCAACGGTGCTGCCAAATCTTCGTATTTAGACCATTGAAAACTTGATGCCTTACATTTTCCTTAATTCCCTCTCTTCCTTCCAACAAACTAGCCCAACCCCAAGAGGGGCGATGACCTGCCACGGCGTTCAAAAAGTCACAGTTTGGAAAGTACCTGGCCTTAATCAATTTTGCCCAGTAGGAGTTAGGATCATGGATCAGTCTCCATGCTTGTTTACCAAGGAGGGCTAAATTAAAGGTATTGAGGTCTCTAAAACCCAGCCCACCCTCAGTTTTAGGTAGGCATAAAGTAGACCATGACTTCCAATGTATCTTTACATCGGAGTCTTGCTTTCCCCACCAGAAATTGGCCAGCTCACTGTTGATCTCATCACATAGACCTTTTGTAAATTTGAAACAATGCATTGGGTACGTTGGAACAGCAGTGGCTACAGCTTTAATAAGAACTTCCTTCCCAGCTAAAGATAGCGAGCTCTGCTTCCAGCCTGAAATCTTATCCTTTACCCGCTCCTTGTCATAATTCATAGCTGCCTTCTATGATCTCCCCCACATAGTAGGCATCCCCAGATAATTCCCGGGATTATCCACTCCTTCCACTCCAATAATAGAGCCAATTAAGGTCTTCACCTCAGTAGGAGTATTACTACTGAAGTAGAGACAAGATTTTTGATGATTTACTAACTGTCCTGTGGCAGCAGAATAGTATATAAATAACACATAATATTTAATTAGAAAAAATATGGGTCTTGAGTCTTAGGGCACTTGGTTGGGCACTTCATATTTAAATTGATTTTTTAGTTTCAAATTAATTTTTTTATTAATTCGGATTAGTTTAATTAACTATTTTCTAACAATTGTGACTCTTCTAATAAGGTTTCAGAAGTTTATTTAAAGCAAACAAAGCCTCATTCGTTAAACACAAAAAAAGCATTCTACAATCACATTCATATTGTCTTAGAGGAAAACAATCAAAGTTCGCCAGATTCTAAGTCCTATTATTAGGGCTTAGAATACAGATAGTTGAATCCTAGGAGGCAATCACCTAAAGAACTTCAAGCACCGAGAATGGGTTAAATTACTGTCTTTAGGACATCGCATCAAATCTGCAAGCCTCTATCTTGAATGCAAGTCTATATATATTCTCTTTATCCTGACTTATGGATTTGGGCAAAGGCTGATCATAGCAATAAGGATCTTATTATTTGGACTGCCATGCGCACATAAATGCTGTTGTAAATTTCAAACTGCCTTTGTGATTCTCACTTCGTCTTCATTTTTTGTTTTTGTCAAAATCTTGATTCCTTTGGTTTATGGCATTTTGTTTCCAGAAGTTTGTGGATAAAGGGCAATAACCAAATGAACTAACAATAAATTCATGTAGAGAAAGGGAAAAACAATTATATTCATATACATTAATTTTCAAGAACATGGCATTATTAAAGCTATATTGTATATATTAATTCTACATTTTACAACAAGAACATTATCTTCTGTTTTCCAGAGCCAATTGCTAGCTAATGATCAGTAAATCAAATCCTGCAGTCTCTGCCACACAGTTGAAGTCTCTACACCAACCCTAGAAAATTTGACCTACAAGGATCAAATAATTAAGTCAATTTCATGAGTAATTAATTGTTAAGAAAACGATTAAATTAACATCATTAATTAATTTAATACCGTGTTTTAGTACCTGAGCATGAAGCGAGTGGAAAACCTTATCACCTACAGTGGAAAAACTAGCGCTGACAACTTCTGCTCCTTCTTCCTCAAGAACACTAATCACTTCATATAACATGAAGTTCTTGTTCAACCCACTGATCAGCATCACTTCTATAATTGAACCTGAGTCTCTTAATTCAATAACTGGCAATCTTGATCTCACCATCATAGCATTATCGGCATCGATAGTACTATTAGCATCTATCCCTAATTGTGACCTCGTTGCTTTCTCCTTCCTCTCCTTCAAATTCTCTATTCTCTCTCTCAGTTGCTTTATATAGGAGGACGCAAGATCGAGCTGATTTTGCTGGGACAACGTGTCCTGATCAACCGGAAAAAGCACCACTCAACAATTAGTGTTATTCTCATATGTACGATATGTTATATTGTTAGACTGTTTAATCACGCCACAAATTTCCGACAAGATAAGGACATTTTCAAAGGCAGCTACTAGCTAGAGAGAGTGACAAGTATATATACCTTGGAGTTGGGGGCTTTGGAGTGTTGGGGAGGAATAAGGGAAGCAAGCTTGAAGCAGAGACCTTTCATGTGGATTCTTCTGTTCCTCTCCACTGTCTTCCTATCCAGTTTGGAAGAAGACTCACCGCTGCACTTCTTCATCCTCAATCATCAACTGATCAGTGACCCTCAAAGGCTAGAACCTTTATATTCTCTCTCTCTCTCTCTCTCTCTCTCTCTCTGTGTGTCTCTCTCAAAGAATGAAAGAAAGAAAGAAAGAAAACCCACAGAACCCAAAAGCCAAAAAGCATGAAAAGAAAGAAAGAGGAGAGAAAAAGAGAGAGAGAGAGAGAGACCGAGACTTTGGAAATAAGAGGAGCTTGAGTTGTATGCATATGTATATATATACACACACACATAGTCGCAAGGGGTTGCTTACGTCTGCTTGTGTGGATAATAGAATCTGAATGAAATCGTATAAAAGACGAGTGAAGGGAACCATAAGTGAAACTTCCCTTGTCGCTAACCCGTACAAGAACGCGGCCCACCGTAGCAGAAGTTAAGAGCACCTGTGAACATCTTAAGTTTGTGGGACCCATCTGGATAGATCTGGGATCGTTGGATGAGTTATGTTAAGTCATACTAAGGTGTGCGCAGAGGCGGGCTAATGGGCTGACTCTTGACCTTTTGACTCCCGCGCTTTCACTTCACCGTCCACTTTATCATTTGTTTGTATTTGTGAGAGACCTGTCTATGTTGCAACTTGCAAGTGGGTTGCTTTCAAATCTCCGGCCACCAGGAAAACATAAGTTCAACTTTGTTTTTTCCTTTGTTTATTTTTTATTTTTTATATTCAATAATCTGAATATGTCTTCTTTAATTAGGATCGAATTCTGATCATGAATGAGTGTGAAAATGAATGTGACACGTTACTAAAATTATGATCCAATTTGAACGGTATAATAAGCTTCTTTGTCACTTACATTTTTCAATTTTATATAGCTCCATTTGCACTGGGGATTGACCTGCCTAACAAAATTGGTTATATATATATATATATATATATTGACTATAACTTCTAAGAACGATGAAGTTAGTGATTATAACAACATTAATTAGTCTAATATTGTTTCCGTGTATGACTTCTTTATTTTAATGAAGTCAATGTGAGATAACTATATAAACAAGAACAAGATTGTTATTATTAGTGAAGCCATTCTCTGATATTATTATTTTTGGGGAGAAAAATGGAATTGAGTTGTGCTCAGTTGAAATAAAGGTTGTTATGAGATAGGTCCTTGTAACTGTTATATCTTATAAACTCATCTATTTTTAAACTATTATCAAAAACCCATATTTGAGTATAGGTTAATAGTTGTCCTAATTTTACAAAATATTTACAGACTATGCCATCAACCTTACCTGTCCAATCCCTTATGTTTAGCATTTATATTTATTTCTTTTTAATTTGGCACCTATATAATATTGAAACGCTTTGATAAAAATAAATCAAGGATACATAAATAATAGTGTAATACAAAAATGTAACACTAATATACTACCTAAATAATAACAATATTAAACAATGATAATATATACCTATAATTAATTAATCTTTTGTGTCTAAAAGAACATTGATTAGGTAATTGTTTATTGGAAAATTATGGTGATACATGCAAAAAATAATTTACCTACATATCTAATACAAGATAGGTAAATAGATAGATACATACTTATGTAATATATATATAGGTACAATAATTTACCTACATATTAGATAGACAATTCAAATAATTTATAAATTTGTATTAGGTACATTATCATATAAAATACAGGTACATTATTTTTTTCTTGCAAAACAAATTTTACATATCTAGGTACATTATCTTGTACAAAAATATAGGTACAAAACAAATTTACATGTACATTATCTATAAGCAAAATATAGGTACATTATTCTTAAGGAAAATTAGGTACATTATTACGTTATCCTTTTAGATAGACAATTCGAAGAATTTATACATTTGTATCAGGTGCATTATCCTATTATTTCATAAATAGGTACAATTTTTATAGAAAAAAAGGACTTTAATTAGATGATAAATAAATAATTTGTGTAAGGCACATAGGAATATTTGTGTGTGCATTACTTACCCAAAAATATATATTTGTGTGTGCATTAAATGTATAGACAATAACGTTTAATACTAATGGGATTGTGTGTACCAAATATTTTGAAAATTAAAACAATTAATGTGTGAGTAGTCAAATTTGTAATAAATTCCAAATTTAGGAGGAAAAAAATCAACTCAAAAAATTGACGAAACCAACATTTAATATAGCCACATAATAGGGTAAACTCTAATTAGGGGTACTTTTGGAATATGAAAAGTACAATAAATCAGATTTTAAGCTTAATTAGATAAACTTGCTGAGTTGGATCCTACTCATCAGGTTTTACTTATAATAAATTGGGTTTTCTTCACAAAAAAAATAAGACAATGGATTGTAGTTCGAAAAATTAGTTTGAAGGGGTAAGCCACATTTACTAAATAAGGGCAATAAGGTGGGGTTTTGTACTAATTCCTCTTAAGACAAAATGACAAAGTGTAACAAGTAAAGGAACAATTAGAAGCAAAATACCTACGAAAACAACAAAATTCGAAAAATATCTTTAAAACATTAGAAAAAATGTTATTTGGCTTAAAATGTTTATACATCACAGCGAAACGATGCATTTGACTCGTCTTGTCATTCTCAACATATCATTAGCCCAAATTAAAACTCGAAACCCAAACATATAAAAGTCAAACTTTGTTGTTTCTGAACTTACATTTATAAAAATGCTTCTCGATCATCTCTGTGATCTATTATACTTGAAACAATTAAGCGAATACTTCACATTGGATCCAATGGTGCATCTCAAAATGTCACAATCATATACTTCTGGGATAATTAGTTGTTGCCAACTTAAAATGGTCTAGGCTATAGGGCATCAATCCCGATGCCAGAGACTATACAGAAGGAGATTTGTGTCGTAGATGTATAATCTCCCAAGATCAAGAAAAGGTCGTGATCATGCTCTGTAATCTTAAAGGACGTACGTGATTCACACCAATATGGCCAAAAGCATGCATGCAGGCAGGCAGGAATGAAAAGTATTGCGAGCCGCCTCTAAAAATATGTGAACACACGAGCTACATTCACTGTAGTATGCAACAGTTGTGATCCATTTTGGGGTACAAAAACAAAACACGGCACTCCTTGCCACCAAATTGCCACCGTTATTCATTACAACATTCACTGTCGTTTGGTTGGCCCATCTAATCAAGGGTCGCATAAAGGTGTTAGCCAAATAAATAAATGAAATTATTTGCTAAATCTAAGACCTAGCCTGACATAAACATAAGATGTTTCGGGTAATGGGGTATAGATTAATGGAAAATGATTTTGACTCGTAAATTAATAGTCTCAAGTTCGAATCTCTATAACACCTTGATAGTGTTTGTGTGAGAAATCCCTTTCAATTTAGACTATCACTTATACTTCGTGTCCAGTTATGGAGCCCGAATGTCATGTGTGTGAAAGTCTCTTATATATAATAAGAAGCTCAAACTCACAATACATTTCAAATATGAACATTCTGAGTTCAAATAGCCGTTTAATTTGATTGATGGATATGTTTCACTACAATCCTCCCTCCATCTTCGCTTCCGTACCAAAAAGGCCTATATCTCCAAAATATAAAGGGAAAAAAAAGAATGAAAAGTCTTCTGTTTACATAAGAGGTGACACAAGCAATGATGGAGTAGTTCCTCAACGAGCATTGCAATTGCATAGAGAAACAAATATGTCGTGCCGTCGTCATCAAGCCAAAATGTGCTATTTATGGTACGATCAGATACTAAATTAAAACCTTAAAAAAGATTTTTCTTTTTTCTTTTTTTCTGAATCCTTACGGCATCATAGTATTTACAATGAGCTCCATAAATTATATCCTTAGATTTAAGTCCAACCATGCTCTCTATCCACCTCCTAAAATAGGGAGACCTCTAGGAGCTCCTAAATCTAATGAGAGAGAAATGACTCCTAGTGGCTCACTATAATTTAATATTTATTTATTTTATGAGTATTTTAAATTTTTAATTAATGGTAATTATTATTTTTTAAATATTTTTAAATAGAAATGGACCAATTAAAAAAGAATTATAGCATTTATGAGTCCCTGAACTAGAGAGTAAGATTGTCGTTAAAATTTTATAGAAAGTTCCTAAAATAGCTTTCGTATGTTTTTAGCTAAATTTTAACTAAAAAATTGAGAGCATGATTGTAGATGTTCTCATAGTTGTGTATGTGCGTGAGAAATCTCCCTCTCCTTTTTTTGATCGAAAAGATACTTCATTAAGCCAAAAGGCAAGGCAAAGACAAGGAAACAACGGGAAGGTAGTCATATTCTAATATAAAATAGCACGATCAAAACGCTTTGAAGATTAATTATTTAAATGGGCTAAGCTTTGACACAAATATTGTAATAAAATCGTGCACGATTTGAGTTGATTCTTTGCTTTAGTTTTGTCGCTGGTACAGGGGACTGTGGATTTGAAGGTCAATATATTATGTTCTGTTCTTAGTCCATAGTCCAAAACAGAGTCTCAAATTTCAACACAATTCAAAACAAGTGACTGCAGTGTTTGAGTGTTGATACGTTTGGTTTGAAACTTGGAACTGATACTATTCCGTATTGACATTCTTGGGCAACTATTGGTATAGCTTTCTCTTTCCTTGTGTTCAGCATGGTCTATTCTCTCAAATCTACAAATTATGTTCACATCTATAATTCAGCTGGTTCATAATTTTATGAGAAAAGTTTGTGTTTGACTAGTACTTCCATTGATTTCTAGGGAGTAATTATGTGAGTTCAACAGTTTTACTGACCAAAATGGATAATAGAGCTACAAAAAGGGCTGTCTAGAAGTTCAAACGTGTTTTGTGTCATGCTCTGGCCAACCAATTTAATAATTGAGTCAAGACATTTATCTCATCATTGAAGTATGAGACGACACGTAATTTAGATATAATCAGGCTCTGCCGAATCAATTATTCGGATGCAAGTCTTATCAAGTCGGATTGTCTTTAAATAGTCCATGTTCATGTTGAATTTAGGGCGACTTAGCTCGTTTTGCAAATCTTTATGTGATGATATTTACATAGAGTAAAAGACATGAGAATTTAATTTATAATGGACATTCCATTTCGAAGCTCATGATTTTAGTGGTTATAGCGTT